TGGCAGCTGCAATGTGGCTGGGGGCCTGCCACAAGCCCTTCCCCTGCAGCCCTTAAAGCTGCAGCCACAGGGGAAAGAAGAACTATAGAGAACTGATGAGTGTGGACAGAGTGGGCAGCAGGGTATCTGTGGGATTTCCTGGAGGCCACTTATTTTGAAATAACGCCCTGTGCCGCATCCACACACACCCTATTCCAAAATAGCTATTTCGAAATGGGCATTATTCCTCGTGCAATGAGATTTACCAATGTTGGAATAAGTCGTCCACTATTTCAAATAACAGAATTGCTTTGTTATTTTGAAATAATGCTAGTTATCTCAAAATAACGGTGCAGTGTAGATGCACTCTTAGGGTACGTCTAGACTACAGGCTTTTGTCGACAGAAGTTTTGTCGACAGATACAGTCGACAAAGCTTCTGTCAATCGCTTTGTCGACATGGCAGTGTAGACGCAAAAGACAGTGTAGCTACAATAATGCCTTCTGTCGACAGAACCCTGTCGACAAAGCGTTATTCCTCATAGAATGAGGTTTACAGCCGTCGACAAAACTGCTGAGTTCTGTCGACGTTATGTCGACAGAACTCAGTGGCAGTGTAGACGCAGGTTTAGTTTTGTCGACAAAAGTCCACTTTTGTCGACAAAACCCTGTAGTCTAGACACACCCTTAGAGAAACCAATATGCAAAATTTTGGAGTAGAAGTCCTCTCTCCCCTAGCATTTCACATACAAGCATTCTCCAAAGCTGATCTATGCACTGCACAGAGTTTTCATCACACAAGAACTATGGGCCTTTCTAGACCAAGGGAAAGATCTTGCAGAAATAACAGTTGCATTTTCATTGGATTTCTATTATTGTGAAGAACAGTACCTTAGAAAGAGGTCTTCCATTGCTTTGCTGGGTCCTGAACTCCCAAGTAGAGGCTGCCCTTTAAGGCTGTGTCCAGACTCAGGGTTTTTTTCGAAAAAAAAGTAGCCTTTTTTCGAAAAAACTTCACCTGCGTCTAGACTACAGCCGTGTTCTTTCGAAATTAAATCGAAAGAACGCGGCTTTTCTTTCGATGGCGGTAAACTTCATTTCACGAGGAAGAACGCCTTTTTTCGAAAGTGCTCTTTCGAAAAGAGGCGTTCTTGAATGCCAACAGGGCTTTTTAGAAAGAGAGCATCCAGACTCACTCGCTGCTTTCTTTCGAAAAAGTGGCTTGCTTTTTCGAAAGAGGCTTGCAGTCTAGACATAGCCTATGAGGCAGTATCTCTCTAGGACATATTGAACAAGGCTTTTCAACTACCATGACCAAAGTCAGAACCACTACCCCACCCCCACCCCGATGAAGGGTACATTTCTTCTTTTTAAAAGCTTGCCTACTAACGAGGAGTAAGTCCTCCCACAACACTAGCAGATACAAGAGTAATATTGACTGAAGAGTCATCAGTCTATCTTGATTGAAGAAGAAAAGTAAGGTTTAAGGCTAAAGTTTCAGCGCAGTATTTATCAATGTTGTAGTTGTTCCTAATTCAATTTGCAGTCAACAAAACCTCTTTAGACATTTGGTCCCATCAAGAGAAGATGTGGTCTTAACACAGATAGGGGGCTTGCAGAGTCCATTCTGGGGACTGTGCCCCAAAATTAGTCTTTACATCTTGCAGATTACTTTAGAGTTTGAAGGAGTGTCTGTTTCTGGTCTCCCTTTGTATCTAGGACACTGACATAAACTACATGTGGGTGCATAGGAAATGCATAGTTGACCCCTGGTGGTCATCTTGACTTTTCCACAATGGACTGACTCAGATCTCAGGTCACATCTTCCGTGAGGAAGGCTAAAGCCATCTGAAGTCAATTCAGTACAATTCTTCCTCAAAGAACTTTAATATTCCCCTCCTGAAAAGTGGATGAGCACAGACATCTTCCATGCTATCTGCAGGGCAGAAGACAGGGTGTTTTCTTGTTATGGCTCAAGACCTGGGGGGGGGGAAAAAAAGGGGATTTTTTTCTCTCCTTTGAATACTCCTCTCCCACCATTAGCTTCATTTATATAATGTCCTGCTGCTTGTGGCAAACTGCACAGATTTGTCCAGCACTTCATGGACCTGACCCAGAATGGAGGAAGGTGTCCATCAACAAAACCATAGATTAAGCTCAGTGCCAAACCTTTATTCTAAAGGCAGACAATATAGATCTCCCACCACTTGTACCAGGACACAAATGAGTAAACTGAAAGCAACTGAGATACATAAGGAAGAATTGGCTAAATCTTAAAAAAAATATCCAGTTATGTAACCAGGGAAAGGATCCTGTGACTTAAGAGTTTCTCTGTTTTTAACTAGAGAGAGTCAACAGCCAAATGAGACGCCATTTGTAGGAAGACGCACACAATACATAATGAGTGCGGGTTCACTGAATTACCAGGAATCCTGCTGAGTTTTCCTTAACTCTTCATAGTGAGCTCCTACCAACAAACAGGATGACATCACTGCTCCTGAGAGGCTAGGAGGAGGTTAGACTTTGCTTTTAATACTCCCAAGTCAGGCAACAGCAGCCACCAAAATCCATCAGTTTACTACCAAGAGCCACCAGCTCACAGGTGAATGCCCCAAAACCAGATTAAAATATTTCAATCTTGGCAGGAAGAGAAAATCCTAGAGCCCTCAGAATTCTCTTTCAGTCAGTTAAATAACATAATTGCAACTGTGGTTAGAAAAATACACGTTTTAACAAAGACGCCCATGTACAAAGCAGTCAACACACAAACTGATCAATCACAGCAACAAAAGGACAATTGTTTCTTTTATCATTTTTAAGGGGCAGGGGTCTGGATAAAACAGCACACTAATGAAACAAAATGCAAAAAATACAAAAAAAATAGAAAAATGTATTTACAAGTGGTACATTACTATGATCAGAATGCACAAAGACAACTGCTACTATAATACATGCATTGGGTCAAGAAGTAACTACTAAAAAACCTGCGAGAGAGAAGTTAATTTAAAAAAGAAAAGGGTAAGGGTTTAAACTTTTTTCTTCCCTAGTTTGCTACATTGATCAAAAAATCAAATATTCCCCTTAAGTACATGAGTACAATCAGTACAAATACTACACTGGTTTTTAACTGTGGGTTCAGCTGTGGAGGGGGAAAAAAAAAAAAGACAGCAGCTTACCATAGAGTCATATACAAGAAAGCCATAGTAAATTGCTCCACATGCTAAAAACTACAGCAAGCCCCTGACTGCTATATAGCATGATCTTAGCAGGTTTTCTTTTTTATTTATTCATATATTATATATCTATATCTATACGCATGTATAAAAATTGTGCCCTTGTTCACTGCAACATGACATCTGGGTGGAAATTAACTTGCTACAACAAATTCGTATATGTATACTGCAATAAATCACTCAATGTCTGTGGATTTAATAAGTCACCTCACACCACAGGAAATATTTAATACATCAAAAAAATATATAGTGACAGAGTTTGTCTCAGTACTCTCCAAAACTGAAGACCGACAGGAAACTGGTCCCAAAGTACTTGGGGGCTCTCTGATGAAACTCCAATTTGCTTAATTGTTTTTCCTTTTAGTGTTCACAAGTTTCTGAACGGCTTCATGATGTTTTCAGTTTAAAGTTTGTCTCCTCACACAAAAGTAACAGTCTGGTACTAATTTATAAAAGAGGGAGCGGAGAAGACAAAGGTGGCTGCAGTTGCACAAAAAGTGTCCCAATTCCACATCTGCAGGGAAAAAGGGAATCAAATGGATCTCCACAACCTTTGTTTTTTCTCTTTTTAGTACAAAGTCCATTCATACAAGTTCCATAAACTGGTACCTTTCCGAATACCAGTCCAGCTTTAGGAGACAAAACCACAAGTTAAGAGAAAAGGACCAAGGCAGAAGTTCCAGTCACTTTCCATGTATTCCATCATACTTCCAGGAAACGGGAGCTGCTGGACTTTGAGTGGAAAGGTTCAGACCACATGCGACGTAGATCACCCTAGAAAATGGTAGGGAAGAAAGAAAGCTCTTCAGAAATAGTCCAGAAATTTCAGCAACTTTAAGTCCTGTGTGTCAGGTATGTCATCTTAAAGTATATTTGCTGTCTCACTGTTAGGGAGGACCGTGCTGACACTACAAGGAAGAAAATCCTTTCCAGGCAGAACAAAGACTCGTGTATTTAAGCCATTCCACCTAATAGACATTTCTGCTGGGAAAACTCAATGGGGAGTGATATAGGGAATTCTGCTTTTGTTGTGCCATACTGCTTGGAAGTTTTGAGTTTCAGAGAGACTGCTGAAATGCAGATCTATTTCTCCATTTTCAATTTAAATTCCAAGGCTAGTTTCTGGAAAGAAAGGTAAGCAAAAATCTGCTCTTCCTCCACATTTAGAACTTTGTATTAATTCTCATGGGGTACAACTACACTGCAACACTATTTCAAAATAATTAGCAGTATTCCAAAATAACTTTGTCCGTGTCTACACAGCAGGCAGTTATCATATATATAGTAGCCCAGTGTCTGTGCGTCTGTAATGCTGACGTACACGGCCACGCCCCCTGGCCGTGTATGTCAGCGCCCCACCCCCCTTCCCCTCGCTCCCTGGCGGTTCGGCCAGCCCCATGGCCCCCCTGGACACCCCCTCCGCCAGCGCTGCTT